GAGGAAACGCACAGTGGAAGCAGCTGGGATTTACCCGCCTCCTACACTCTTGAGCAAGATGCAAGTCAGATGAAGGAGCACTGCGTACAGAAATTCCTAAATCAGCCTGATCTTCAAAAACATCTGGGCACATTAAAACAAGATTTCTTCAGAATCAAATTTGAATCTGAAAGCTTACAAGCAGAGTGTCAGATTCTCTTCTTGGGAGAGATTCGTATTTACAGGCAAATGGTGGTTCTCTGTTTCCATCTTAGACAATCCTGTCTAAAAGTCTGCCAGGCCTTCTGTAAAAGTAAAATTTTTTTTTTTTTTAATTTGTTTATTTGAAAGGCAGAGTTACAGAGAGAGAGAGAGGTCTTCCATCTGCTGGTTCACTTCCCGAAAGGCCACATGAGCTGGAGCTCAGCCAATCTGGAGCCAGGAACTTCTTCTGGGTCTCCCATGTGGGTGCAGGGGCCAAAGCACTTGGGCCATCTTCCACTGCCTTCCCAGGCCATAGCAGAGAGCTAGATCGAAAGTGGAGCAGCCAGGACTTGAACCAGTACCCATATGAGATGCCAGCACAGCACTGGGGGCCCCCCTTCTTAATTTATATATACAAATAGATTCATTTAATTGTCTTGATAATTGCATATCATAGTCTTTTTAGATACAGGCTAAGCAAATTCAATATCATGACTGGAATCCAGGCAGGCAGCTCCAAAGCTTCCTTGTGTATATTTAGATCACTATTTCCCAAAGTATGAATTTTTGGGAAATTGCACAAACTATTAGTAGATGAGTTAATTATTTAGTAATGAGTTACCTAAGGCTGGAGATTACTGTGTTAAATGAGTAAGTATTTTTCAAAGTCTAAAAGCTAATATACTTTACAAAGTCTAACACACAAATGTGGAATATAACATTTCCCAGGCCTCCTTGAACATAAAACTTTTTGGTTAAGTCTTTTTAATTCTCTTACTTTTTCTGAAAGACAGAGATCTGTGAGCTTCTAATTCACTCCCCAAATTCCCGTAACAGCGAGTGGCAGGCCAGGCCAAAGATGGGAACCTGAAACTCACTGGGTCTCTTACATGGGTGGCAGGGACCCAAGTACTTGAAGCCTGACTGTTGGCAGGATGCTGGAATGGAGAGTGGAGCTGGGACTTGAACCCAGAACTCCAATATGGGATGCAGACATTCCCAGCAACAGTTGCACTATTGTGCCAAGAGCTCGCCATGGCTAATGTCTTTCGATGCCTGGTCTGTAAACTAAGTCCATGAGATGGCAGCCTGCACATCAGTGGCTCCCGTCTCTGCCCACCACAACCAAGCTCTTACTTCACTGTGACTGGGACTAAAGGGAGAGCTGATACATGAAGGAGCAACGCTAAGTTGCCCATATATGTCTGTGTTCAGCTTTATCAACTGGAATTGAAGTACACTGATAGTACCTTCCTTGGGGATAGTGTAGCTGGGCATGTGAAAAGCCTCTCAACTTTGAGGTTCTCAAGATAAACCACTGGAGTGGCAAGAAAATACTGGAACTTAGGGCTGGTGCCGTGGCTCACTTGGCTAATCCTCCACCTGCGGCTCTGGCATCCCATATGGGCGCTGGGTTCTAGTCCTGGTTCCTCCTCTTCCAGCCCAGCTCTCTGCTGTGGCCCTGGGGGGCAGTGGAGGATCACCCAAGTGCTTGGGCGCCTGCACCCGCGTAGGAGACCAGGAAGAATCACCTGGCTCCTGGCTTTGGATCGGCATAGCTCCGGCCGCAGCAGCCATTTGAGGGATGAACCAATGGAAGGAAGACCTTTCTCTCTGTCTCTCTTCCTCACTGTCTAACTCTGTCTGTCAAATAAATTTTAAAAAAATACTGGAACTTTCATTTAAAATGTTTGACACTTGGTTTTCTTTTTTGCAAGTTTTAATATTATTTTTATAGTCATCCTTTGGTATCCATAGGGGATTGGGTACAAAACCTCTCATAAATACCAAAATCCATAGTCGCCCAAATCCCTTCTATAAAATGTTATAGTATTTGCATATAACCACATATATCCTCTATTGTATTTATTTTTTAAGAGTTATTTATTTTATTTGAAAGAGTTACCCAGAAAGAGAAGGAGAGGCAGAGAAAGAGAAAGGTCTTTCATCTGCTGGTTCACTCCCCAGATGGCTGCAACTGCTGCGCCAATCTGAAGCCAGAAACCAGGAGTTTCTTCTGGGTCTCCCACATGATGCAGGGGCCCAAGGAGTTGGGCCATCTTCTACTGCTTTCCCAGGGTATAGCAGAGAGCTGGATTGGAAGTGGAGCAGCCAGGACTTGAACTGGCGCCCATTTGGGATAACAGCACTACAGGCGGAGGCTTTACCTGCTTGGGCACAGTGCCAGCCACTCCTCTATTATACTTAAAGTCTACATTACTTACAATACCTAATACAATGTAAATGCCATATAATTAGACTGTATCACAAGGGAACAATGACCAAAAAAAAAAAAGTTTGTGCAAATTCAGTGTACAGACACAATATACATTAAAAATTGTCAATCCTATTTGAATCTAAGGGAACAGAACCCTTGGATTCAGAGAGCTTACTATACATAATACTGGAATAATAAAATACATATGAATATACAATTTTCAAGAAAACTTAATATCCTATTGGGAGTATGTTACAGTAATAAGGGGATTACTTAGTCATATATATGTGTGAAGCTTAATTTTTTCATATCTTTGTTTTTGCTTTTTTTGGGGGGGAGTTTTTTGTTCTTTTGTTTATTTCTTTTTCTCTCTCTCTCTTCTCTTTCCATATTCTTTGTTCAAGCAATTTCATCCAATACATGGGCCGGCGCTGTAGTAGGTTAAGCCTCCACCTGCAGTGCCAGCATCCATGTGGGTGCCGATTCGAGTCCTGGCTGCTCCACTTCTAATCCAGCTCCCTGCGTATGGCCTGGGAAAACAGTGGAGGATGGCCCAAGTGCTTTGGCCCATGCACCCATGTCGGGGACCTGGAGAAGCTCCTGGCTCAATTCCAGCTGTTGCAACCATTTGGGTAGAAAACCAGCAGATGGAAGATCTACTCAATCTCTGTCTCTCCCTCTCTCTCTGTAATTCTGCCTTTTGAATAAAATAAATAAATTTAAAAAAATTATCCAATTTGTCCTAAGAAAATAAACTTATATGTGCATATGTATGGGGGTACTGCAAAAGTTTATGGAAAAATAGAAATATAAAATGTTTATTTGGGTACAAACAAGTTTTTAAAAAAGATTTATTAAAGAGATGAGTTAGAAGGAGGGACAGAGAGAAAGTTCTTCCAACTGCTGGTTCTCTCCTCAAATGGCTGCAAAGGCCAGAGCTGAGCCCATCCAAAGTCAAGATCCAAGAGCTTCCTCTGGGTTTCTCACATGGATGCAGGAGCCCAAGCACTTAGACCATCTTCTACTGCTTTCCCAGGCCACAGCAGAGAGCTGGACTAGAAGAAGAGCAGCCGGGACTCGAACTGGTACCCATATGGGATGCTGGTCCCTCAGGTAGACTTTAGCCCTCTATGCCACAGCATTGGCCCTGCAAACCATTTTTGAAATCTGTACATTGTTTTATTCACATTACAAACTTTAAATGGAATTTTTAAACACTTGATGGGTTTTGGATTTTATTTTTGCATCAGTAAATTTAGCTGTCTATTTTCCATGAATTGTTTGGAGTACCCTCATATTTAGTTATAGGGATTTTTCAATAGAGGGATATTTATTAAAGATCTGTTTGTGCTTATGAGAATTGAAAACAGTCTAAATGGTATTGTTAAATAAACTCTAAAATTTATTTTTAAGGTATTTATTTGAAAGGCAGAGTAACAGGGAGGTAATGAGAAAGATCTTTCATCTGCTGGTTTACTTCTCAAATGGCTGCAACAACTGGGGTTGGGCCAGGCTGAAGCCACAAGCCTGGAACTCCTTCTTGGGCCCCTATATAGGTGGCAGGGGCCCACACGCTTGAGTCATCACCCACTGCTTTCCCAGGCACACTAGCAGAGAGCTGGATTGGAAGTGGAGAAGACAAGACTCAAACCAGCACCCTGATTTGGGATGTAGGCATTATAATTGGTGACTTAACCCACCACACTACAGCACTGGCCACTCTACAGCCTCATAGACGACAGCTACTTATAGGAAGCTCTTAAAAATTATTTTGTAGTAGGATATACAGTTGCCTAGAAAAAGAAATTCTGATTTTGTCTGTCAGATAAACCAGATGACAGAGTTGATGTGCCCAAAAGAAATGATTGGACATATAAACCAAAATGCTAATAGGGTAGCACTTAGTGGTGAGATAAGGGGGAAATTTTATTTCCCGTGTACCTCCACCATCTATGTTACTCTTTTAAACAAGAAAAGCGTATATCTGAGTAAATATTCACAAAATTCAAAGTTTGGAAGTTATAAGAGGGTATTCTGTAAAATCTTTTTCTCAGCCGTGTCTCCACGACAATGTATTTCTCTTTCCAAATTATCCAAGGTTTTTGATTTCCTGTGTATCTTCCCAAGGATATGGTGTGTTAATAACTTGGATTGGTTTTAGCCTCTGTCACAAATATTATGCAATACACACTGTTTTGTACTTTGCTACACTGAATAACCTTGTACACCTGTCATTTTACCTCATGTCAGACTATACCTAGAGGATACATTTCTGAAAGTGGAATTCTGAGTCAAAAGAAATGGGCCTTTGTTTTTTGGATAAATACAGCCATGTTGCCCCCTAAGGTAACAGAAAAAAATCTTCCAGGGAGGTTCTTCTAGTACTTTAACGGCTTGAGGTTTTCTCACATTTCACTAGAGATCCATGAAAAGTTTTCCTGGCTTAATGGATACTTAACAAGACAAACAAATTATTTAAAATATTAAGCTCCCCACTCATAGTGGAAATTCAAGTGCTGGTCATCCCCATCTGTTAGATCATAGGATCTAGATGCAAATAAGGACATCTTGCGGAAGGTTCAGCTTACACCGTGTCTGAATAACAGCGGGAGCTGTGCTCCACTGTGCTCTGCCCGGTGCCATTCTGCCGGCTTCCAGGGTCGCGCTGCAGTGCAGAGGCTTGATTGCCGCCTTCAAGTGGATTTTTCGACAGTAGAGAACTCAGGTCGGTGACTGGATCTCCGTTCTCAAGGGCCGTAAGTTATTTGACTCGTTTCAATACAAAGCAGCGGCTCTCCTGCAGTGCATAGGTATGGTGGGGGTGAGGGGTGTGTGGCTATGTGAGAACGCACGGCTGGGGAACTAATTTTACTCCTGTGGACTTTGTGGAGACCTGTTACTCACTGGCAAACACCAGCAGCTGGACTGAAATGTCAGACGGATTTGCACAGCTGACTCAAGTTGCCGAAAAGAGAGCAGCATAGTAGTTCCATAAATCGACCCCCATCCAGCCAAACCCTGCTTAATATAGATCCGGCCCAGCTCAGCCCTACTCACTCCTAGCTGCTTAGCAAACACCACTGAGCTTCTTGGGAAAAAGACAGCTCCAGGGTGGGTTGACCTGGGACCTCTGCTGTCTGCTGGACTTTGCTGAGGTGCTTGCTTGCTGCTGCTTTGTGAAAGTCACCTCTGATTATCTCTTTTCTCGTCATATAGAGACAGAAGCATGTCGGAAGCCAGCAGGAATTCCGATGAGGAGCTCCTTGATGGGGAGATCGATGAAGATGCCATCTTGGCCAACCTGTCCCCTGAAGAGCTGAAAGAACTGCAGTCGGAAATGGAGGTCATGGCCCCGGACCCCCACCTGCCCGCGGGAATGATTCAGAAAGACCAGACGGACAAGCCCCCGACGGGAAGCTTCGACCATAAATCACTTGTTGATTACATGTATTGGCAGAAGGCGTCCAGACGCATGCTGGAAGACGAGCGCGTTCCTGTCACCTTTGTGCAGTCGGAGGTAACCAGGGATTTGGTGTGCGGCAGAGAAATGGCTGCCGGGGCCTGGGCCCGCAGCTGGGGGCCTTGTGGCTGTGATGTCTCCTGGCCCCAGGGTCTTGCCACTCCTGTGCTAAATAATCGCGTTAGGTCCTGCTCCACGCTGGAACTTTCTGAAACACTGACATGGTACAGCTGTGAGGGGAAAGTTGGTCACTTCTTGCAAGTGTCTTTTAAATTTTTTTTTTTTAAAGATGACTTCAGGGTTTGCTGGAAAGGAAGACCTTTATTTTATAGATATGCTACTTACTGATTTGAATCAAAACCCAAAAGCCGTTGTCCTTAATGATTTTGCTTGTTTGTTTTTTGGTGGGTTTTTTGTTTTCTTTTGTTTCTCATAGGTGCCTTTGAGAGGCTGATGGATGCTCTGTGTCCTTTCTCTCTGGCACATCCATAATAGTGGTATTTCACATACAATATCAAAGATTTCATACTTCTGCTAGAGTCTAGCCACCCACTCAGCAATTATATCAGCTCAAAGAACCAAAAATATCTAATATTCCTACTCAGTATTGGGTCTCATTGATGGCATTTAGAAATTGATAGCTATTAAATTGCTTTAAAGGTCTTTCTTGAATTTTTTAGAATCTAAAATTATTCTTGACATTGATTTACAAACTTGTTATATATGAGAACTTTTTTTTTTTTCACGTTCCACTTAAAAATGACTTAGCAAAAGAAGATGGAGAACCCCCAGGTAATAAAGTGTCTTTCAGTTTTGCATGATGACAGCAATAAATCTTGTCACATTACTGTCACAGGGCCTTTGTTTAAAGAAATCTGTAAACTGGTTTGCTTCACCGTCAACAGTTTGAACATGTGCTGAGCTCAGGGAAGGAAATCGTTGCCTTGATCAGGGTGAAGTTTAAGGTGCACTTTGAGGAGAGTTTACAGTCAAAAGTCAATGGATTAAAAGGCAATGGTGGCCGGCGCCGTGGCTCAATAGGCTAATCCTCCACCTTGCGGCGCCGGCACACCGGGTTCTAGTCCCGGTTGGGGCGCCGGATTCTGTCCCGGTTGCCCCTCTTCCAGGCCAGCTCTCTGCTATGGCCAGGGAGTGCAGTGGAGGATGGCCCAGGTGCTTGGGCCCTGCACCCCATGGGAGACCAGGAAAAGCACCTGGCTCCTGGCTCCTGCCAGGATCAGCGCGGTGCGCCGGCTGCAGCGGCGGCCATTGGAGGGTGAACCAGCGGCAAAGGAAGACCTTTCTCTCTCTCTGTCTCTCTCTCTCACTGTCCACTCTGAAAAAAAAAAAAAAAAAAAAAAAAAAAAAAAAAAAAAGGCAATGGTAGGCCAGCACCGTGGCTCACTTGGCTAATCCTCCACCTGCGGCGCCAGCACCCCAGGTTCTAGTCCTGATTGGGGTGCTGGATTCTGTCCCGGCTGTTCCTCTTCCAGTCCAGCTCTCTGCTGTGGCCCAGGAGGGCAGTGGAGGATGGTCCAGGTCCTTGGGCCCTGCACCCCATGGGAGACCAGGAGGAAGCACCTGGCTCCTGGCTTCGGATTGGTGTAGCGAGCCTGCCACAACACGCCAGCCGTAGCGGCCACTTGGGGGGGGTGAACCAACCGTAAAAAGGAAGACCTTTCTCTCTCTGCCTCTCTCTCTCTCTCACTGTATAACTCTGCTTAAAAAAAAAAAAAGCAATGGTATATGAAAGGCAGTTATAGAAGGAAAAATGAGTACTTAGATTTTTTTCCTCTTCATTTGGTGTAAGCAGCTTGATGGTTGGCGCCCCCTTCTGGGACAGACGAGAAATGCAGTGGTGCAGGCTTTCGATGGTGAAGGTGACTGTGTTTTCTTTCCCAGCCCGCATCCTGAGCATGAGGATGAAATTTTTGTTCAGAGGAAGCTGAGTCTAAAACTGCTCTGCCGCCTTTCAAAATGACACCTGTGAGGTGCACATTGGTATAGAAAAGCATAATCATTGATGTTCAAGGATCTAATAAAAATGATTGACAAGAGACTGCCATTTCCTTTCCCCGAATGAACAAATTATTACAAAATCTTTGCATAATCCACTTCCATTTTACACCTGGCTCTGCCTCCCCTTTGGCCAAGCTAGACTAGTGACCCTGTTCCTGGAGTAGCCAGCAGAGTTTTCGCAGAAGTGAGGAAACAGAAGCAAAATCATTTAAAATTTTTTAAAAATCTTCAGAGTCCATGGAAAATGCATATTATGAAAACTATGCATGGACTTGAACTTTTTTGCTCTAAAACTTTTGATTTTTCCATAAACTTTTTGAAGTTCACTTGAGTAGTTTAAAGTACCACCTTACTCTCATTTTCTCCACATTATCTTAGGTTCTCAGGGAAATTTGATGCTCATGTTATCCTAGATTAGCAGATATTTCGGAAATGTAAAAGTTAGGGCAATAGGAAGTGATCAAGCCCCAGGGCTGAGTACAAAGATGCCTCTTGAGCTACATGTGATACAAAAATGTCAACATATTGATAAACTCCACAAATACAATTTTCAAAACGTTTTTTCACTGCTTCTGGAATACAGAAATCTAAAAAATTCATTTTGATTTATAGGATGAGATAAGTACAGCTAAAATGTCTATAAAATTATCTTAAGATTTTTAAAAATTTTTTAAAGATTTATTTTACTTATCAGAAAGACTCAGTTACAGAGAGATAGAGGGAGGGAGGAAGGGAGAGAGGGAGAGAGAGAGAAAGAGAGAGAGAGAGGTCTTCAATCTGCTGGTTCACTCCCCAAATGGCCACAACGGCCAGAGCTGGGCAGATCTGAAACCAGGAGCTTCTAGGTCTCCCACGTGGGTACAGGGACCCAAAGACTTGGGCCATCCTCCACTGCTTTCCGGGGCACGTTAGCAGGCAGCTGAATAGGAAGTGGAGCAGCTGAGACTCAAACTGGCACCCATATGTGATGCCGGCACTGCAGGTCAGTGCTTTAACCCACTGTGCCACAGCACTGGCCCCATGGATTTATTTATTTTATTGGAAAGGCAGAGTGACAGTGTGGGGTGGGGGAAGACAGAGATAGAGATAATAATTTTTCATAATCTCCAGATGCCAGCAATCACTGGGAGTGGGTCAGGCCGAAGCCAAGAGTCAGGAACTTCATCCTCATCTGCCATGTGGGTGGCAGGAACTCAAGTACTTGGGCCATCTTAGCATCTGCCACTTGCCCAGGCACCTTAGCAGGGAGCTGGATCAGAAGGGGAGTAGCTGGGACTCAAACCAGAACTTCTATATGAGATGTGAGCATTGCAATCAGCAGCTTAACACACTGTATCATAATGCCGACCCCACGTGTCTTTACTTTTGTTGTATTTGTTTATCAACTGACATGTATACTTTAAAAAAAAAACTTGGCAAACATTCCAACATATTTTTCCTTATACCTATGTAAACCTTTATGTTGTGTTTGTATACAAATATACATATGCACACTTATTCACAAATAGACTATTACAATACATTTAGTTTATTGGCTTGCTTTTTTAAGTTACTAATAAAAATGTTTACCTCCAGTACAAACTGCAATACTTCTACACACTGCCATGTGTTCTAACCCTGATCAACCTCTCTTGTAGGAAAACACTCAAGAACCGCATGAAGAAATAAGCAAAAATAATAAAAATCTGTCCCAATTTTTAAAGGAAAGGCTCAATAGTGAAATAGTAGCAAATAAGAGAGACCCAGAAGGCAGCAGTAGCATCCAGGAGGCAGATAATGACGATGAGGAAGAGGAAGACGATGCAGGTGATGAGAGCAATGAAGGAGATGATGGTGCAGAGAGTGATGAAAATATACAAAGAGAAGATGAAAGCAAAGTAAAGGCGCCAATTGAAAATTGCCAGTCGGTAGCCTCTACCACATCGGAAGATCAGAGAGATGGACTGGAACCCCAGGAGAAGAGTGAGAAAAAAATATCCAAACTGGACCCTAAGAAGTTAACTCTAGACACCAGTTTTTTGAAGGTAAGCGCAAGACCTTCAGGAAACCAGACAGACCTGGATGGGAGCTTGCGGCGAGTTAGGCAAAACGATCCTGACATGAAGGAGCTCAACCTGAACAACATTGAGAACATCCCTAAAGAAATGTTACTGGACTTTGTCAATGCAATGAAGAAAAACAAGCACATCAAAACTTTCAGTTTAGCCAACGTGGGAGCAGACGAGAACGTAGCGTTTGCCTTGGCTAACATGTTGCGTGAAAACAGGAGCATCACCACTCTGAACATCGAGTCCAACTTCATCACGGGGAAGGGCATCGTGGCCATCATGAGGTGTCTCCAGTTTAATGAGACGCTGACCGAGCTTCGGTTTCACAATCAGAGGCACATGCTGGGCCACCACGCAGAGATGGAGATATCCAGGCTTTTGAAGGCCAACAACACTCTCCTGAAGATGGGCTACCATTTTGAGCTCCCAGGTCCCAGGATGGTGGTCACGAATCTGCTCACCAGGAATCAGGATAAGCAAAGGCAGAAGAGACAAGAAGAGCAAAAACAGCAGCAGCTCAAGGAGCAGAGGAAGTTGATCGCCATGTTGGAGAATGGGTTGGGGCTGCCCCCTGGGATGTGGGAGAGGTTGGGAGGACCAATGCCAGACCCCAGAATGCAGGAGTTCCTGCAGCCTCCTCCTCAGCCTCCCAACGCCCAAGCAGTCCCATTCAGCCGGAGGAATGAAACCATGAAAAAGCCATCACCGCCTCCGCAGTACAAGACAGACCCTGACTCCTTCCGGGTGGTCAAGCTAAAGAGAATCCAGCGCAAGTCTCGGATGCCAGAAGCCCGAGAAGCTCCTGAGAAAACCAACCTCAAAGATGTGATCAAAACACTCAAACCAGTGCCACGAAACAGGCCTCCCCCGCTCGTGGAAATCACTCCCAGAGATCAGCTCTTGAACGACATTCGCCACAGCAACGTCGCCTATCTTAAACCTGTAAGTAGGAGGAGGGAGTGGAGGCGAACAAGAGCCGTGGTAAACGTATCCCAGTCCATTTTAACACAAGGAGGAGCTCTCCCATCGTGACTAAGTGGGAGATGCCAGTAAGCATTCCCAGTAAATGTAGATTACTGGTTATCCCTAAGGATATACACATAGATGACCTTGATAACAATACTAACAGCTAACGTTTAGTGAGCGCTTACTATAGGCCACAGTCATCCTGTGATTTAATTCCTACAGCCATCTTAAGGTAGGTATTGCTATTCTCATTGTCTTCTAAAAAGAAAAAAGTGAGGCTTAAAAAAGTTAGTAACACATCTAGGAGCCAGCTAAGACGTGATAGAGCTGATGCTGAAACTTGGTCCTGTGTCCAAGGTCAACCTTTTGTTTGTTTCACACTATTCTCAACCCTCCAAGTGCATACTCAACACCATCAGAGAGCCCTAGGAACTTGCTGGGAGGAATAAATAAGAGTCTTATTTAGGGCAGTGAATTAATGCTTAAAAATTTTTTTTTGATAGACCAAGAATACAAGTGTGTTTGCATTTATATCCTACACTTTTTAGGTGGGCAGATGAATGGTAAACTTGAGGTTTGCATCTCGGTGAAGTCATAGAGTTTCAAAAGATTTCAGTTCCAATATTGACTCAGTTGGCTGTTACTGCTAATAAGAGAAAAGTACTCTTCCTGGTGGGTTAGGTTGCAGAAATGGATGTGTTTTGCTTATGATGACATTTATGGAGGCCAAAAGATGGGCCTTCAAACGCCAAAGGGAAGTATAATTAACTGTATTATTTTAAAATTGTGTGTGCAATTCAGCCAAGGATAACCTTAGACAGGTTAGTCAATACGAGATTCACAATTTTTACAAGAGATGTTAAAAAAATTTCCATGTGAGTTTTTTTTTGCCTTAAAGAATTTTATGTTCTAAAATAAGCTAATCATTATTTACACATAGATGCAGGCACTTCAGAAACACTTTTGGAAAACAGAATTTAAAGAAAAGTTTGTTTGGCTGTAAAAATTTTGAAATTCATATATATAAGAGGGTCTTCAAAAAGTTCATAGAGAATGCTTTTAGATTATGAGAACACTACATGGATTTACAACATTTTTGTCATGCAGATAAACTTTTAATTGCATTTTTCCATGAACTTTTTCTTATGTGTATGTGTCCCAGCTCCTAGTAATGCAAAATTATCAGTATTTCCACTGTTGGGCAATCAAAGATGACTTTGACCTATGATTTAGAGGAGCTCTGATTCTTCCGAGGAAGGCGTCAGGGTGAAAACACTGGAGGTCACATGAGGGCAGGCAAGGATTCTTTTCCTACCCTGCGGCACAGTCAAGACATTGCACACCTGCTCCTCCCTTGGCAGCTGGACCTCCAGAGCGGGTGAATGGGGGGGAGTTTGAAAGAGCTCTGTCACTTCTTCCATAAGCAGTCTTCAACACAGAATATTGAAGCTGCGTGGGAGGTGATACCTTCAGAAAATAAGAGTCTGAATAGAATAAGCAGTTTTTCTAAAAATGTGTGTTAAAGGTAGCATGCGAATTCAGAGTAGATGGTCAAGCATCATGAACCAGCTTCCTGACTTCTGGGGCTGTGTGCTGAGTGGACCCAGTTTCCTGAGTCTGCTTCGTTCTGCCCATTTGTTCATTCGTTTCTGCAGCAAATGTGTTTGGGGCCGTCACTGAGTAAGTCGAGTACAGTGATGGCCACACAGAACTTAAATTGTGGGTTTAACAGTTTCAGGTCAAGGTTCTTGGCCTTTTATTCAACAGAGAGTACTTCAGCTTTGGGTCTACATCTTAGAGCAAAAGATAATACAGTAAATTCATGCTGAGAAATACAGTAAAACCCCCACTAAGTACTGTGTGTTTCCTGTTGTAATCATTTCTAAAATGCTATCTGTTTTCAGTGGGTTGGTTGGTTGGTTGGTTTTTATAAGAAAAACGTGCTGCAGGGTGAACGCTGCTGTGCTCTCTGAATGGCAGTCTTGGGTGCTGGCCTCTGCTTCGAACTGGCTTTCCTCGATAGGATCTCTCCTGCTTCCATTTGCCATAGGCACGGTTTTGTAGGCATCTCAATTACAAAAGGTCACCCAGCTTCATATATTGGGTTCTGTAAAGTGCGCCTCAAGAAAAATAAGAAAGAGCATTGTTCCCCCGGGGAAAAGTGCTTCACTAATACTGATTTACGCCCTGCTGCTGTTTCTGTGTACACAGTACAGTTCTGCTTTAAAGCCACCTTGTATGTGTAATCTGTTAAGAGACATTTTAATTTTTAAAGTCTTCTTATTTTGAAATTGGTATACTCTTACGGATGTTCCAAAGTAGTACAAAGAATTCTTTAAAAAACACCAGAGCAGGTGCTGTAGTGCCGTGGGGTAAGTTGTTGGCAATGCCAGCATGCCATAGCTGAGTGCTGCTCCAGTTCCAATCCATCTTCCTGCTTATGTGCCTGGGAAGGCAGTGGAAGATAGTGTAAGTACTTGTGCCCGTGCCACCCATGTGGGAGACCAAGATGGAATTCCTGGCTCCTGGCATGAGCCTGGACCAGCCCTGACCATTGTGACCATTTGGGGAGTGAATCAGTAGATTGAAGAGTTTGTCACACTCAATCCCTCCCCTAACCTCCTCCCCCTCTCTGTTGGTCTGCCTTTCAAAAAAAAAAATTTTTTTTTTAAAGTAACCGGACCTGCATTGTGGCTTAGCAGGTGAAGCTGGCGCCTATGATACCAGCATCCCAGGTGGACGCCTGTTCCAGTCCTGGCTGTTCCACTTCCCATCCAGCTATCTGATAATGTGCCTGTGAAAGTAGCAGAAGATGGCCCAAGTCCTTGAACCCCTGTGCCTGTGTGGCTCCTTGATTTGGCCTGGCCCAGCCCTTGCCATTGCAGCCATTTGGGGAATGAACTAGTAGTGAATGGAAGCCCAAGCTCAATCTCAATCTCTCTCTCTCTCTGCCTTTTTTTTTTTTTTTTTTAAGATTTTATTGATTTATTTGAAAGGCAGAGTTACAGAGAGGCAGAAAGAAATCTTCCATCCGCTGGTTCATTCCCCAATGGCCTCAACAGCCAGAGCTGTACTGATCCGAAGCCAGGAGCTTCCTCTAGGTCCCCAATGTGGGTGCAGGGGCACAAGGACTTGGGCCATCTTCCACTGTTTTCCCAGGCCATAGCAGAGAGCTGGATTGAAAAGTGGAGCAGCCGGGGCTCCAACCAGTGCCCATATAGGATGCTGGCACTGCATACTGGAGCTTTAATCCACTGTGCCACAGCATTAACCCCCTTACTATGCCTTTCAAATAATAATAATAAAAAAAAACTTTAAAACCATAACAGCCTCGCATAACAAAAAATATTTGTGTATTTGAAAGGCACAGTGATCTTCCATCCACTGGCTTACCCCCCAAATGATCTCCAAATGATCGCAAAAGCCAGGGCTATGCTAGGTGAAAGCCAGGAATCCAGAATTACGTCCAAGTATCTCACGTAGGAGACAGGGATCCAAGTACTGGGACCATCTTCTACTGCAGGTACAGGAAGCTGAATTGGAAGTGGAGCAGCCAGGATGTGTTGTGGACACAGATTTTTTTTGTTTTGTTTTAAAGATTTGTTTATTTTGTGTGAAGGTTAGAATTAGAGAGGGAGAGATCGGGGTCAGTGCTGTGGTGTAGTGAGTAAAGCCACCGCCTGCAGTGTCAGCATCCAATATGGGCGCCGGTTCAAGTTCCAGCTGCTCCACTTCCTATCCTGCTCTCTTATGGTCTGGGAAAGCAGTAGAAGATGGCCCAACTCTTTGGGCCCCTGCATCCATGTAGGAGACCTGGAAGAAGCTGCTGGCTCCTGGCTTCAGATTGGTGCAGCTCCAGCCATTGTGGCCATCTGGGGAGTGAACCAGCAGATGGAAGACCTCTCTCTCTCTCTCTCTCTCTCTCTCTCTGCTTCTCCTTGTCTCTGTGTGTAACTCTTTCAAGTAAATAAATAAATCTTTAAAAAAGGAAAAAAAAGGGGGGGGAGGGGGAGATCTTCTATCTGCTGGTTCACTCCCCAAATGACTGCAGCAGCCAGCCAGAGCTGGACAGGTCCAAAGCCAGGGGCTTCTTTGGGTCTCCCATGTGGGTGTAGGGACCGAAACACTTGGGCTGTCTTCCACTGGTTTCCCATACATATTAGAAAAGAGCTGCATGGGAAGTGTTATAGCTGGATCTCGAACTGGTGTCCCTATGGGATGCCAGCTCCAATCTTTGGCAGTACCCTCTCAGACAAGTACACATTTGTTAATTTTCTTCACAACTTCTTCATTAGATTCCTCCTCCTCATCTCCCTTCGTGTTAGATGTCTGTTCATCCCACTTTATCCAATGTAGCATAAGACGCTTACATTTCTTCTGGGCCTTGGGGCCCCCAAAAGAGCTGTTTGAAGCAGCAGTTTAACCTGCTATGTCACAATGCCTTCCCCATGTGCACTGCTCATTATGTTTCACCAAGATTGCGTTTTCATTCTTTAGAATGTATTTTGAGTGGCACAAAAACAGGACACATAACTCAGTGGAGGTGCTAAGACTATGAATAACTATGATGTGTTCATTCTTGCACTTGCAACCAGCTGTTAGAAGACACCATTTAACATGCAGTCTGGTTTCAGAGCTGTAGAAACATCACAAAATGTGCATCTTTGACTCAGTGAAATACTGGAAACACCATGAGCAATGATATTACAAAATTCCAGCAGAAATGGATGTTTTTGGCCAAATGACACGTGACAACGTTCACTTTACAAAGAAGTGAAAAGTTTTTAGAGTTTCAGGAAGAGATGTCCACCAAATTCTTAGATTTTTCACATATGAGGGTAAACTGAAACCACAGTTTTGAAATCTTGAATTTGTTTATTTTTTTGCATATTCTGAACTAGAATGATGACTTTTCAAAAGCATGCTTAGAAATTATTCTTAGAAAACTTTAAAAAATAGTATTTTACTCATAATTC